GGGAAAAAATGCTTCTAGATGACTTTCTGCATCATTTCTTCATCTCTCTGATAAGCTGCATCGTTCCAGTATTATTATATAGTTCATATATATGAGAACTGTGTTACTACAAAGAAAACATCTTATTAAAATGAGAAAATAAAGAAGAATTTCTAAAGTCATTAAACCTTTAGAGACACATTCATATTTACGTCCATCTTTACTGGCTTACAATTAACCTCCCACTCCTCCCAAACACGTGACCATCCATGGACATAGAGATTGTGAATAATAATAATAATAATAATATTTTGGACTATATAAAGAACACATACTGGGCCTTTGTACCATCACAGTTGGTCCATATTAACCTCTGCAGATCCTTAAAAACAAAAATTGTCACAACCTTTTAAGATTATGTCAAGCATGACCTGAAACCATATATAAAATTAAAACTTCTCATTTCAAATTAGTTTTCAACACATTTTGAATCAGCTAAAAATCAGCCATTTTCTCAGAACATTTCCATAGAGAGCCACTTTGCATCAGCAGCACCATGCTCCAGTGCTCTGGGAGACTTTATAGTCCTGACAGTTGAACACTGGATGACTGACAGCTGTCCTTCATCACAACAGAAATCCTCGTCCTCATCATCAAAAACATGACTTTGATGTGCGTCCTCATCTGGACTCTCCTCCTCTGCTGCTGCTTCACAGGTAAAGTCCAGAGAATCAAACTCCTCTCCTCTATGAACATCCGTCCCTCTGAAATGAAGCCCACTAAACCCTGATGCTGCTTTCTGTTTTTGTCTCTGTATCCTCAGAGTCCAGAGGACAGGTCACAGTGACTCAGCCTGCAGCAGTTGACCTCTGCTCTGGGAGCCTCCGTCTCCATCTCATGTAGAACCAGTCAGAATGTTATAGTAGCCCTACTTAGCCTGGTACCAACAGAAAGATGGAGGAACTCCTAAACTCCTCATTTACTTGCTAGCACTCGAGCATCAGGGATTCCAGATCGTTTTTCAGGCAGTGGATCAAACTCTGCCTTCACTCTGACCATCAGTGGAGTCCAGACTGAAGATGCAGCAGTTTACTACTGTCAGAGTTTACATACATCAACAGTCAGTGTGTTCACACAGTGAAAAAGCGTCGTACAAAAACCTCCCTCAGTCAGACTGAACAGAAACTGAACTGACTGCTGCAGCTGGAAGTTTCTGCAGAGACTGACACACTTCACTGAAGCAGCTCAGACATGATAAAGACCTTAAAAATCAATCAGCCCTCATATTTGTTTTGGATTATAAACCTCATTGTAAACGCACTTAAACAATACACACTCTTTACAAGCAGAGGATTATGGGTAATAAGATTTTTTTTTACATAACATTTTTTTATTGGTGATAAAGTGGACAAAAAAACAAACCTACAAATATTTGCACATAGAAATAACAGCAAAAACAAAACCAATAACCAAACTAACAACACTCATAAAACTGATTCAAGCCTTCTTAGATGTGACACACTTAAGTATTGTTGGATTTATTTAAAAATATCTAGTTTGAAAATACACATATATATTTAATCAGTGAAACATAAAATGTATAACAATTTACCCTATGGGATGGATTTGATGACACAAAATAAATGAGTTGGAATGTGGAGCCGCCCTTTGCGCATGTGCGATACCATCTTCGCGGGCATAACTCATTAGCATAACGTCTTCTGGCTGGAGTGGACCATATCAGTGGGAAACCGTCTGCAGGTTGAAGTTCGGTCTTTGGTAAGGGAAACACTGCTATTGAACAGGTTTAAACACGCACAACAAATAGTTAGATAAATATTCTTGGTTCACCGTCCAGCTCTCAGGGGAAAGTAATCCGCTGGTCGGTATGAACGCAGAGAGACACCGCGGTGTCCGGGCAGACAACAGGCCACAATCTTCCCCGCTCACGCTCCTCACGCCTATCTTAAGTAAAATAATAAGTGAGGGCAAGTTCATTCGCCTCACAATTCTTTTGCCTTTCTCAATTGCAGTTTTGCGACTGCTATGTTCATGTCTGGACTATTATGCTAGCTAGTGGCCATGTTAAGTGTTACCAAGCTAGTCTGCAAACTCAGACTTTCAAAGTAAAGTTCGCCCTCATCAACATTGCACGAATTTTGGTAAACAGCACTGAATACACCAGCGGTACAGTCTAAAGTACTACAGCTCAAAAAAATGAATACTTACCAATATACAGTGGGTACGGAAAGTATTCATACCCCTTTACATTTTTCACTCTTTGTTTCATTGCAGCCATTTGCTAAAATCAAAAAAGTTCATTTTATTTCTCATTAATGTACACTCAGCACCCCATCTTGACAGAACAAAAACAGAAATGTAGAAATTTTTGCAAATTTATTAAAAAAGAAAAACTGAAATATCACATGGTCATAAGTATTCAGACCCTTTGCTGTGACATTCATATTTAACTCTCCTTCAGTAAAGCTGTCGGTTAAGCAGTAAATGTACATTCTAGGTTACAGATTGTCAGTGAATACATGCAGGAAGGTTAATGTTGTTCCTGTGTGTTTGATATTTTAATAAAATGGCAGAATTTAAAATAATTTCATGACTTGATCTTAGTTATTGAAGCTTATTTGTTTGTAAAATAATTGCTAGTCCATTCTAAATGTTCAAATTTTATCTCTTTTCATTGGTCAGAGCTCTAATTCAATTTCGACTTGTCTGCATTTCTGGGTATTCTGGTACTTGCACTCACAACTTAATGTGTTGTCATCTTTTGCAGTTTGATCAACGTTTCCAAGCTTCTTGTGGCAGCCTCCTAATGATCAGCGTTACCAAGCTCTTTGTGGCAGCCTCCTAGTGTTACGGCCAGCTCGTGTAGGCCCTAACATTCAAAATGGAGGTCCACACAGTCAACTTGCTTAGGTTTTAGTTTATTTCAGAACCACCAAAAAAATGCAAGAGCAGAGGGAGATAAGTCCAATCTGTCCCGAGGAACCCCCTGAAAGCTCTGGCAGCCCGGCTTGTATGCCCTTCCACCCAGGTGAAGCCCATCCGCAATCAGCAGGCAGGTGGGCGAGTCTCCCCGACCAGCTGGCGAGTCTCCCCACGACCAGCAGGCATGCCACCGCCAACCACCAGATGACGCCAAACCCTGAAATACAAAACACAAGCAGTACCAGGCCAAACACCATGGCCAGGGCCGTCACACCTCCCCCATAAAGAACGTACACTTGGGTGTACGTACACATTAAACTACTTCCCGAGAAAGAGCATCTGCCATTACATTATCCCTACGCTTGAGGTGACAGATATTAAAGTTGTAGGGCTGTAAAAACAACAACCAGCGCCTCAACCTTTGATTGCTGTTTTGCATGCTGGACAGAAAGGTCAGAGGTTTTGGTCAGTGAATACAGTAACTGGTGCAGACCCCAAAGTTACATACACTTCAAAAAATTTTAGAGCCCAAGTAAGTGCCAATGTCTCCTTCTCCACAACTGAATAACTGAACTGATGACGTTTGAACTTACGGGAGAAGAAGCAGACTGGATGATCAATAGCCCCCTTCCCTTCTTGCAACAGTACAGCTCCTGCACCAACTCCACTTGCGTCCACCTGAAGTTTAAAGGGCTTCTCAAAGTTTGGCGCTGCAAGCACAGGAGAACAACAGAGCAAGGATTTCACCGTAACAAAAGCATCCTCAAATTTAGGAGACCACACAAAAACCGTCCTCTTACTCAAAAGGTCTGTCAATGGGGCCACCACAGTCGCAAAATTGGGCAAAACCCCAATAATACCCCACCATATCCAAAAACCTCCCCAACTCTTCTCGTTGTTGGCACAGGGTACACGTCAATAGCCTGAACTTTCGTTCTTACAGAGTACTTCCCTTGGCCAACAACCTTACCAAGGTAAGTTACCCTAGCTTTAGCAAACTCACATTTGGACAAGTTGATTGTCCGAGTCACAGCACAAACAGGAAAAACCATTGGATGTTGTTTAGCACACTCATCCGGACCTTGAGAGCACTCGGGTGATGCTGTTACCCCAACAGAAGGTGGATCATCTTTCCACACTCTTGCCCCCGCCAAGTCATTACCCAATATAACATCCACACCCTCCAATGGCAATGAGTTCCGTACCCCCATGACCACTTCCCCTTTTACCAGATCTGAACACAGGCTAAGACGATGCAATGACACAAACAAAGGAACCAAAGAAATTCCCCGAACGGGAGTCGTCTCCCTAGTGTCTGTAGCAGAAGAAAACGGCAACACACGTTCCAAAATGAAACTCTGGGACGCCCCTGAATCCCTCAAAATACTTACAGGTTTCATCTCACCATCATTCAGAGACACAAACCCATGTGACATGAAAGGGGCATACATTTCATCAACCCCCTTTGATGACAGTTCAGGAGATGTTCCTGGCACCATTAGACTCTGCACTGATGACAGTGAAGCCACCAGACCAGCAGATTTCATATACACACTTGGATCGGTTGACTTTTGTTCGACATGGAAATTGGACACTCCCCTTTCCAATGACCCTTATTTTTACATGAATGGCACAGTTTACCTGGATCAAATCTACCATCCGTACCTGGTACACTTCTGAAACTGGCCTGAGAACCCTGAGTAGCCCCAACAAACTTTCCTGGACTAAACTTCACATTGTCCTTTACGCCCCAGCGCCATTCTGAGCCACCAGCATGAGTCAACACATACTCATCTGCCAACACTGCAGCTGCTGAAGCTGTCTTAACCTTACGCTCATTGATGTGTACAGCAATGTGGTGTGGAACAGAGTCCTTAAATTGTTCCAATACCATAAGGTTACACAAATCATCATAATGATCTACCTCCGAGGCAGGACACCAGCGTGCAAAGTGAGCTGAAATATCCCATGCAAACTCTACGTGAGTCTGTACATCACCTTTCCTCCAGCTTCTAAATCTTTGCCTATATGCCTCAGGAACCAACTCATAGGCTTTCAAAACAGCAGCATGACAAAACATTCAAATGACATATATCTGAGTAAACATTGTATCTCCAGACCTGTCCTCATGACACAACACAGGAGCAAAATAAACAAATATCAAACTTCAACCAGAGAAAGTCCAATTTTGTATCAGAAAGACACAGCAACAACTATTGTAAAATAGTTCAGAAACACAGTAACTTTTAAGAATAGTTGACAACTTAATACACAGATATACTAAAGAAATGCCAACTTCAGCAAAATGACAAAAGGTTTACCCTATAGTTCTGTACATCAACACTAGAAAAACCCAGGCATTTCCAACAGAAACCCATTACAACTTTGAGTTCAACGGGCATTTTTTCAACTGTGTTACCCTCAAGCACAACGGCAACCTTCTCGGGGCAGAATACCGCAGCATCTGTTGAAGTGGCACTGATCAGGAGGAGCCCAACTGGTATGTTGTCGATTTGCAGTTCATCTGACAAATGTTACAAATCAACTGCCTAAGCTTCAGTGTTTCCCATAGAATGACAATGTACCAAAAGCTGTTTATGTTTCTTGATCAGCGGAAAAATATGGAAAGTACACTACCCTATTGCTATTCAGGGATTTCTTAACTCACCACTTTAAATGTAGTAATTATCCCCTTTTTTGTTTTTTTGGCCTCAAAACAATCAAAGCTAAATGGTACTGAAAGACAATGACTCAACTGACAAGCTTTTTTAAACAATCACTATATTGCATTTATTCTCACTATAGATGTTGATATTGTTTAGCATACTATTCCAGCTCTGCAGGTTTTAAATGGAATTTTAAAAACTGCAGCATGAATTGAGGTTTGACCAGTAAATGCAAAGTTTAATTACTAATTCCTCACAGGTAAGATTAAGCCTACTGTAGATGTTGCAGGACAATTATTACTATATTAATCTTTTTCACTTTGTAATATCATGGCAATCATACACCAAAATGACAGCATCTGAATAAAACAGATGAAATATATAACATGTTCAACAGATTCATTACAAGTCTTAATAATATGCTGACTTACATCCCACAGCTTCAGAAATCCGGAGTCATCCTCATGCAGATATGTAGGGAGAGCACGGAGGACGGCAGCACGGAGGACATTGACGTCAACTTGTTCCTTAAGTATGAGAAAACACATCATCTTAATTTGAAATGCCAAACAGGGAAGGAACAGAATTTATCACAAGAAATAGCCCTATATGATGTATTTGAATACGATTAGGTAATGCCTACCAAACTGTCAAATGACAATATCAAAAGCGGAACACTTGATGACATTTATTGTTTCTATTGTTGGTCGTGTTTTTTCCAAACAGTCTTTCACGATAGAAGACTGTCAGCTATCAACGATGGCATCATCATTTGGCCCTAATGTAATCTGAAGATAGGGAGTTCCAACAGGGTTCTATTATTATCATGCATGAAGAAGGATAATCAACTCACCTGGCGGTCATAAGTGTTGAAGAGCTGATCCAGGACTTCAGACACCTTCCCTGTGCGCGCAGCTTTCTTCCTGAACAAACTCTGAAGACGAGGGACATGTCTGTCTAACTCAGAATAGAAGTGGTTCTTCAGGTTGATGTTTGTGATTCTGTGAAACTCTGCACAAATCTGTAAAATAAAAATGTGACATTGAAGTGCATTTGTATCTCAAAAGAAAAAGGAAAATGAAGTTGTAAAACATTACATTACAAAACGTGTTTAAACATTATGTACTGTCGCATTATAAATGTCAAAACTTTACATTTGTTAAATGCTTGTCAGACTAAGTGACTGATGTTGAGATCCCTACACTTCCCTATCACATACAAAGAAAAAAAAACTCACCTGTGACTCCATCTTTAGGGCAGGCCAGCGCTCCAGGATCTCTCCAACAGGCAAGTCATCATTGATGACCTCTTTGCGTCGCAGGGAAAAGGTGGTCTGCATCAACTTTGCAATCAGAGGGAGGTTTTTGTCAGTCCTTATAACTTCATCTACAATCTGGAGTCTCTGTCGCTCAAGGCTTGAACCATCTTCTCCTTTTGGAAAGTTGGGGAGAAAATTCACTTCTGCCCTTTTTGGTCTCTTTATGTCAGTGTGGGGAGATTGTTTGTCAGGGTTGTTTCTGCTTCTCTTTCCAGAATTTACAGCTACCTCACTATATCCTGCCCGACTCAACTTAGTGCAGAAGTTACCCATCTTAAACTTCAGACTATTTTTCCAACCATACCATCCTGTCTGCGTTCCTGGTTCTTTAAGACAAGGATGGTGGTGACAAGCGCTTCTGCAACCACTGAAATGTCTTTATCACTGGGATATGCTTTAAAGCTATGCATTTTGGATGCAAGGGTTTCAAGAATGTCATGCTTCTGTCCCCTTGATAACTTCAGGGTTTTCCCTGTTCTCTCATGATTCAAATTTCCCTCAACAAGTATGAGTTCTACTTCATAAGAAAAGCTGGCACTGGACAAACATCCGGCCATCTCTGGGTCCTTTCTGGAGTCATTGCATGAGGCAATATTATTGTGTCATCAGATGCAATTGAACTGGCATCACTCTGAGATCTTACAAGTTTAAGTACTGCCTTCTGTGGAAGCTCTTCAATGTCTATAAGGGAACATAACTGCCCGTCAAAGTCTGGATCTTCATATGATAAGCAAAAATCAAAGTCTATCTTAAACTTTTCTTTTGTCATTTTTTCAAGCTCAGTCACAGATTCTGGACATGAAGCCAAAGTCATCTTCCTGACAATGTCCATGGAAGTATGTATGTGAAGATTACCTATTAAAACAAGAGAGGGGAGGAACGGATTAACTAATAGCATTCAACAATGCATACACAATAGGTATTTGTGTGAAACAGTTATAGACAGATATTATTCACCTAAAAGCTGGGGTTTGAAAAAATTACAGTTGTAGCAGGTAAGTCTTTCTAGGCTTGTAATGTTAGTAAACGTAACTGGCATATCAAATTTTAGTTTACCTGTCTTACTTTGCTACACACTGTTCCATGAGGCCATATGGTTCTTCACTTCTGATAACATTTTACACCTGGATTTCTCTGATCAAAATAAATCTTTTTTGTGTCAGTATTAAGTGTCCATCTATGTTGTATGCAGACAAACTTACTGTGTCATTTAGTTCTGACAGCTCGATGACAGAGCAGGTGTCTGAGGATGTCAGCTCAAATCACCTCAAATGCTCTCTGTACCAGCTCTCGTAGTTTCTGCAAAGAAAAGAAACAGAGTTATTCACAAGCAGTGTTTGGTCAGTCTCCAGCCTGGCCTGCAGAAACATACATACCATTAGCATACTCTGTGCCATCAATGGACACCTGTGTTGTACTGTATATGTTTTGGCTGTCTGTCTTTGTTCTTATAAAGTCTTTTGCCACTTGAGGCAGTGTGGCAACGTGGACAGAGGTGACACTCGAAGATTGTGTGTGGGGTTTGAAAAATAATGTTGCACTTCAGTGATACGCCATCATGTGCTGATGCCTAGTGGCAAGAGTTCTCAAGACAGTCTTGAAATTGTGTGTGTCCTGTATCACTCTTTTAAAAAAGCGATGTTTTCCCTCGAACCTCATTGTCCAAAGGTGAACAAGAGGCCCAAGCGCCTTGTCATTTCTGGGTAGTGCTCAACATAATGATGCTTGGGTCTGAGCTTAAAGTCTGGAAACACTGCTTGAAGTCCCTGTCGATGATCACTGATTTTAGTCTGCATGTACTGTAAAGACTCCTCTGTGAAAGATGGAGACAACACCAGCTGCACTATTTCTTTGAGGTCCAACAATATGGCCCATGTTTCATCTCCTTCAGGGACTTTACTTCCTACCAGTAGTGGTAATAACCTAAGCAAAGTGGAATTTTCATGCCCGTTTGGCAGCAAAATTCTTTGGAATTTGTTGCGGTTTATCAAGCCTATCAGTGTGCTGATCTGGAAATGTGTGAATTCTTGTGTTTAGATATTCAAGTGTGAAATACTTCAGGCAAATCATCTCACGGATGCACAAGGCCATCTCAACTGGCACGACACCCTCAAAGAGGTCGTGAAGAATATCAGGTGGAAAACCAGTGATGGGATGAAAATGCTGCAATGCCATGCTGAGAGCACACTGACCTTTAACACCTAAGTGATTTGCTTTGTCTTCTTCCACAACATTCTGCACATGAAGATCATGGGAGGCCCTTGTTCTCATGCTAAACTCCCCTTCAGAAACGTCAGTGCACTGTTTCTGGTCTGCAGTACAGCAACAAAATCAGGGACAGTTTCAGCTCCCCTGTTTCAGACAATAACTGATTTTCTTTGAAATATGTTCCATCTTCATGAGACATGTAAATTCCTGGTGGAGACGGTTTTGCCTCGTGAATTTTTTCAAGAAGATCAGTAGTTTTAAACATTGTTTGAATCATCTGAAGAATGGGAACATACACTGCTGTGTGTTCACTGGAATCAAAAGTGTATTGCACTGGCATTACCAAAGGATAGTTACTCCTCACAAATGTTTCCCTCCGCTTAGCAGTGGACAGTTCCGCACCTTCTGAAGTAGCATTGACAAAAACATTAGTTTTCATGATAGCCTCCTCTAGGTCATGAAGAAGGGCCCACTGACAGACAGATCATGCTCTTGTAAACTATTGACAACAGCTTCTCTCACAACAGGTTTGGACAAAGTGAATATTTGTTCCAAATTTTCAATGATGTCCTGTGTAGCTGTCTCTGACACATGAAGAACACTGTTCATTTTCAAGAAGAAAGAAGCCAAATTATTTTTGAAGTGCCCTTCCAAGTCATCAGTGTCATCTCTGGATCCAGAGGGCTCACACTCAGGAGTATCCAGCTCAGGAGAGTGTGGTAAAGGCTATCCCTATCAGATTCATCCTGACTCTGCATTGGTTGACTTTCAGTTTCTGTACAGACAATCTCATTCTTATAATTTGAAACATCACTGTCTGGATGAGTCCTACTTTTGTGGCATTAAAGGAGGAGTAGACATTAGTGCGGTCTTGACAGTTTTTGAAAGGACAGTCCACCATTTCATGGTGTTTAAATGTGCCCTTAAA